ACAACTCCTCCCCTTACCGACCCAAGATGAATGGCGCTGTCGAAGCGGCCAATAAGAATATCAAGAAAATTGTTCAGAAAATGGTGGTGACCTATAAGGATTGGCACGAAATGCTACTTTTGCTTTGCACGGTTATCGTACGACGGTACGCACATCAACTGGGGCAACTCCGTTCTCGTTGGTATACGGAATGGAAGCGGTATTACCATTGGAAGTTGAGATCCCTTCTTAAGGGTATTGCGAGACGTTCAGCTGGACGAGGCAGAATGGGTAACGAATAGATTGAACCAACTGAGCTTGATGGATGAGAAGAGGCTAGCTTCTCTAGCATACGGTCGTTTGTACCAAAGACGAATGAAGAAAGCGTACGACAAGAAGATACTTCCGCGAAGCTTTCAGACGGGCGACCTTGTGCTAAAAAGGATTCTCCCGCCGCAAGCAGATCACAGGGGCAAGTGGACCCCCAATTACGAAGGGCCATACGTTGTCAGAAAAGTCTTTTCAGGAGGAGCTTTATTGTTGTCCACCATGGACGGAGAAGACTTCGCGTCACCTGTGAATTCGGACGCAGTTAAAAAATACTTTGCTTAAAATAGACCCGCTGGACAGAAAAAGAGAGTCCAGGCAAAAATGGGGCATCCTGGCGAACCAAAAACAGAATGAAAGGTTCGGGCAAAAGTTAGGGATAAAATTGAAAAATGTACACCCGCGAAGTTGAAAACCTACACTGGGCGGCTTCGGCAAAAAAGGGTATCCCGGTGAACTGAAAACCCGTAAAGGGCGATTCACGCAAAAGTTAGGGATTTGAAAAGCAAATGACTGCGGTCCGAATTCAATGAGCATCAATGCGGGAGAATATACTTGAGGGGTCGACTATCGGATACAGTCTCTTCAGAAAAATGGATACCGGGAAAGCATTAGAGTCGGATGAGTCATAGGAGGATCATTTCGTGGTGTTCATCTGCATCCCGTTGCCGACATATGTACAAAATTTAATTTGTCAATGTATTTATGCTTCTTGTGCATACTTGTATATTTGCTTTGTGTAGCTTTCCTCATTTCAGGAGTTACATCCCGTGTACAAAACTCCGCCCATTCAGGGGCCCGATCAATGAAAATATGTTATTCAGTACTTGATGCCTGTTCTTTACTGTTTTGTGCATGATTAACGCCTGAGTTTGATGAAACTAGCATGGGTATAACATCACTGGCCCTTGCCGACAATTGCTAAAGCTTTGAATTAACTGAGTGTAACGTCACTAACCTGAATTGATTTGATTGCATAGGCTTGTCGTGTCTTGCAGGTTTCGTAACCATACGAAGAAGGTGATCAAAAGATTGCGATAACGAAAGACTCAGTCCCCACGCAGGTCATGCATGTTCTTCCTGAAGGAGGATAGAATTCCCCAGCTAGCCGTAGCTTATCCAAAGGACGTGCCCCAGAAAAGTTATTCGTCCTCAACAGAGTTTGACGATTCCAAGATCGTAAGGCTGTATTCAGGCAGGTTCATCTTTCCCTGCAGGGTCATGCACTCTCCCCCAGCGGAATCAGGTAATTTTCCCCAAGAGAATCATCCCATCCCCAGCGGAATTCTCTTTGCAAGTGTTTTCATTCCTCCCAGTGGAACTCGAAGTTATGACTCTCCCAAGCAGAGTTGATGGTGGGTCCTGTCATTTATTTTGTCAGAGATACTGTGTAATATCAGTTCACGTTCCAGCAGAAAGTCCGATCATACTATGCACATCTGCTATTCCCCAGCAAAGTTATATTCCCCAGCAGGGGGTTACCTCGATAGGGTATGTTGTTTGAGTTCCCAATTTCCCAGCAAGGTTGACTTCACCCTTCCAGCATTTATTTTGTTGGAATAATTCTGTAGCATCTGGCTATCCCCGGCGGAGTCGGCATTATCCTTCCAGCATTTATTTTGCTGAAGCAATTTCTGTACTCTAGCAGTTCAGGTGGAGAGAACTCTCGCTCAAATGAACTACCAAACGCTCAAGATCTCGGTATGAGACATCCAATGATAATGTCAGTTTCGGCAGTATTCCCCACAGAGTTGCCAGGATAAGTTTCTCTTTGTTCCCAGGCAGAATTAGTTGTCATCAAAGGGTTTCGTGGATCGGAATTTCAGAAGTTGCCTCCGGTTATCAGAGCAGGCGTCCGATAGTTTGGTTTCCAGACATCCTCAGTAGAGTCCGTCTCAAAGCCGCTGTCACGTCAGTGCTAAGAAGTTTGTGGGTGAGGATCATTGGAGAACTAAGTCCTGACGCAGACAATTTACTCTTAGATTGACGGGATTTCTTCAGAAGTGGGCGTCCTAACGTGGACAGGTTTATTGCTCCGGATTGGTGAGGTGTGTTAGTCCTAACGTGGACAGATTCGGTTTCTCGAAATTAGTGGAATGGGAGGTCATGACGTTGACAAAAGTAATTACCCTTTGTGTTGGTGCCCTGACGTGGACAGATCAGACCAGCGTGTGAGTCCTCACGTGGACAAGCCTCATTTCCTCAGCAGGCCGAAGACGCCCGAGTCCTAACATAGACAAATCAAGACGAGATCAGTGTCCTGACGTGGACAAATCAAAGAGATTATTATTCCTAACGTGGAGAAGTGGGTCCTAACGTGGACGATGTAGTCCTTACGCGGACGTATCAGAAGAGGATTCCTTACGTGGAAAGAGGTGATTCCTAACGTGGAAAGAGTGGAGTCCTTACGTGGACAGATTAGGATGGCATTCCTAACGTGGAAAAATGTAGTCCTGACGCGGACAAATCGGGAGGAATTGGTTGCCTTACGTGAAAAGTTGGGGGTCCTTACGTGGACAGATTCAAGAAAAGTCGATTCCTGACGTGGAAGAACGATGTATTCCCTACGTGGGAAGATTGAGTCCTCACGTGGACATATCAAGAGTGATTCCTGAC